TTTTATTTTATAATATTTATACATATCAATCTGAGTGGTGTGATACCTGGGTATCATACATTTCAATACAAATAAGCGTAACATTGTTACTCATAATTATTACTTTTCATTTTCATTTTTTCATATTGTTTACACATTCCCTTACTACCACCCTTCAATTCTAAAATCTTAACTTAGCTTTCATTAGCCTCTGCTAACATCGTCAGAGTGCAAAAACCATTAAAGAGATATCTGTCTTTATACACTATTAATCAATTTGGCCATTGCGCTAGTGATAAGCCCATCAGACAGTTCAGTGTTATTCCCTGGGGATGAGCAGCTCAAGCTGTGCTCAATAGGAGAGGAAGGAATAGGAACTAAACCTCTATCAATTAACATGACTGATGTAAAAACAACAAAGCTAATTGCAGGTGGGAGGTGGGTGGATGGTGCGCAATGGCCAGATTGATTAATAGTGTATAAAGGCAGATGTCTCTTTAATGATTTTTACACTCTGACAATGTTAGCAGAGGCTAACAAAAGCTAAGGAGATCTCAATGTCTGTTTCTTTTATAACTACACCTGGAACTCGTATTTTTAGGATAATTCGCTACACATATCCACACACCCACACACTATTATTCTCCTTATTTCTATCTCTATTTTAATCTCCCTCCCATGCCACTGTAATATTCAAAGATGTTTGTTTTCTATTTCCAATCTTCAGCTGTTTTATTGTTCATATTTCCCTTATTTGTCTCTCCACATCTATTTATGTTAAGGTTTCATCCTTCCTTCTTTCATTATTCAGTGTCTGAGTGTGCAATCCCAATCCCAATCATTTGAGCATTTAAAGCATTTAAAGTATCTATTCCAGGGGTAAAATGCTATCGGGCCGATTGGCCTGAACCCGTAGTAAAAGAATGCTAAAAAAAAGTTTAAAAAAAAGTTCCAACAATCAGCTGTGTGACAATCAGCTGTGTGACAATCAGCTGTGCTGCGCAATTTATATTTACTAGAAAGCAGGAAATCCTGCTTTCTAGCAAATCTAAATCATGCGGCACAGCTGTGTCCTCCCCCCTTTTTCTGGCTGTTCTACTTACCTTTGCAGACTCAGAAAAGGCTTCTTAGCACCTGCCGTATGCATGCGCGCAAAGCGAACCCGTAGCAGACTTCAGAGCATTTTACCCATGATTCTGTCTGTCTATTCGTATTCTTTCCAGTCCAGAGATTTGATTGCTGCAGTTAAGCTGGAAGCTGACAAACAACAAAAGCTAAATTTTGGTAAAAATTATGTGGTGATAATCAGATATGATCCCAGACTGCTGGGAATTACAGTTAGTTCTTTGACTCCTGGCCATTCATTCAGCGGCCATTCAAAAATATGGCTCTGAACAACCAGACTTATGACCCCTGCCTGATATTATAGCCATTGTAGTCTCCCCATCCTATTCTGCTGGGTCGCTGCAGGTCTTGGGGCAGCTGTCCACTCCACCGGGTCCTCCCCCTGCCAATTACAGATTGGTCACTTACCTTTTTGGTAGATCTTTGGGAAGCAGCTGCTCCATCACACAGTCTTCCTACCCAATAGAGGCTGTGTGGCACCATCCTGGAAGTGACGTCATTTTGGTAGCATTCACAATTGTGGGATGAAATTTGTGCACCCATTCCCAATTATTTGTACTTACAGACCTGTTGAAAATCAAAGTTTCATTTTGTAAAATCATTTCGAAATTTGTCTTGGCTTTTCTTTGTGCAGGAAATGTGACACCAGCTCACTACGATGAACAGCAGAATTTCTTTGCTCAGATTAAAGGATACAAACGGTGTATTCTATTTTCACCAGACCAGTTTGAATGCCTTTATCCTTATCCTGTGCACCATCCATGTGACCGGCAAAGCCAGGTGAGTTGACAACTAGGCCAAATAGCATTTTTTTTTGCCAAAGACCTCAAAGCATAACTTTTAATACTGGTTTATTACAGAATTTCTAGATACCTTTGTTTTTCTCTAACTATCTGCCTGAGGAGGAGTCTAAACCATGATATATATATATATATATATATATATATATATATATATATATATATGTATGTATGTATGTATGTATGTATGTATGTATGTATGTATGTATGTATGTATGTATGTATGTATGT